AGGTACAAAGACAATCCTGAAAGATTTGTCTTTAGAAACAATGCAAATGAGAAGACAGTGGGGGAACTACTGGGGAAAAGAGTCGACTTAGAATTTAGTATGTGGAAGAAATATCTCTCAGAACAACAATCAGATGACAGGAAGACATTTTCAGGTATACGAAAGCTGAAAAGATTCATCATCTGAATGCTTTCAGATGAAAGGAAGATAATAGCAGAGGGAAATCTGGATCCGCACAAAGGAATAAAAAGCACAGGAAATGCTAACTACATAGGCAAATAGGTAAGATTTTTTTCTTACTATTTAAATTTCTATAAACATATTGATGGTTTAAACAAAAATAACAAAGTAAGAATAGAAGGGAACTTTCTCGATCTGATAAAGGGCATCTATGAAAATCTGACTGTAGTACATTGAGTTGTGCTCAGCGGGAAGCTGCCTTCTCCCTCTCCCTCTGCCTGCCGCCCCCCACCCCGCTTGTGTTCTCTCTTTCTCTCTCTGTCAAATAAATAAATAAAATTTAAAAAATGAAATAAATACATAAAAAATTTTTATAAAGAGTGAATACAAATCTTTCCAGGTATATCAATAATCCCAAGGCACTTGACAAAATTAGCCAAACAGCCTTCAGAACTGTGAGAGAATAAACCTCCGTGTTTTAAGCCACCACACCTTGTGGTAGTTTCTTTTGGTCAGTCCAGGACACTAAAATACCTACATCTAACATCATACTTAATGGTAAAAGACTGGATGTTTTCCCCCTAAGATCAGGAACAACACAAAGATGTCCACTCTCACCACTGCTATGCAAAATTGTACTGGAAGTAATGGCCAGAGCAATTAGGCAAGGAAAAAAAAAGACACTGAGATGGGAAAGGAAGAAGCAATAATATATTAGCAGATGACATGTATTTAGAAAATCACAAAGAGCCTGCTAAAAAAACTGCTGGGTAAACAGATTCAACTAGATTGCAAGACAAAAGGTCAATATATAGAAATCAACTTCATTTCTATACATTAACAGTGAACAGTTGGAAAACGAAATCTAGAAAAACAGTTCCATTTATAATAGCATCAAAAAGAGTAAAATACTCAGGAATAAATTTATCAAAAGTAATCCAAAACTTGTGTCCTGAAAATGATAACATATTATTGAAGGAAATTAAATAAGATCTTATTAAATTAGAAACATTCCATGTTCGTGACTGGAAGACTTAATATTGTTAAAATGTCAGTACTCTCCAAATTGATCTCAATACATCCTTATCAAAATTCCAACTGTCTTTTTTGCAGAAATTGACACGTTAGTTATAAAATTCGTGTGAGGATACAAGGGACCCAGAATGGCATAATGGCCAAAACAAGCAACAACAAAAAATGGATAAACTGTACTTCACCAAGATTAAAAACATTTGTGCTACAAACAATACAAACAAGAAAGTGAAAAGACAATCCACAGAATAGGAAAAAAATATTTGCAGATCATACATCATATACCTGATAAAGGACTTGTATCATCAAAATTAAAAACTTTTTCTCTAAAGGGCACCTGGGTGGCTCAGTTGGTTAAGCAACTGCCTTTGGCTCAGGTCATGATCCTGGAGTCCGAGGATTGAGTCCCACATGGGGCTCCCTGCTCCATGGGGAATCTGCTTCTCCCTCTGACCTTCTCCCCTCTCATATCTCTCTCTCACTCTCTCTCTCAAATAAATAAATAAAATCTTTAAAAAAAAAAAAACTTTTCCTCTAAGAAAAGTCCTGTTCAGACAAAGAAAAGACAAACCACAGACTGGACGAAAATCTTTGCTAAGTGTATATCTGGGTGAATGACTTGTATCCAGAACATATAAAGAACCCTCAAAATACAATAATAAGCAAAGAATCTTATTTAAAAAGGACAAAAATTTGAACAGACCCCTCCCCAAAGAAGATAAAGAAGATGGCAAATAATCATATGGAAAAATGCTCAGCATTAGTCATTAGGGAAATGCAAATTAAACCAATAAATGAAACACACTATGCACCTATAGGAGTGACTAAAGTTAAGACTGACCATTTTAAGTGTTGACAAAGATGTGCAGAACTGAGACTCTCCTATACTGCTGGTGGGAAAAGCAAATTTGTATAACACTTTGCAAAACTATTTGGTAATTTCCTGAAAAATTAAGTATACATCTACCATGTGGTCCAGCCATTCAATTCATAGGTATTTAAGCAAGGGAAATGAAAGCATATGTGCATAGAAAGACTTATACATGTCTTCAGATCCTTGTCTGAGCTCTGTATAGACTACAGGTAGCAGAGGGTGGCCTCTGATGGTTACAGAGGACCTGTCCTTCCTTTCCATCTTGCCTGTGCTGGTAACAGACTGGCCACTGGCAGGCACCCTTCTCCAAACCCCTCTCAGCCTCCCTGAGGTTTTGCTCAGAGACGTCAGTTTTTCAGAGAGAACTTGGTTACTGTGCTTCCATGAGTCTTTAATGCCAAGGACATTTCCTTAAGATTAAGGTCATGCCCACTTTAGTGTCTACTGTCAGGGCCTTAACTCCAGGTTATTTTGATTTGTCTGTTTTTGCTTTGCTTTGTTTTGTTTCTTCACAAGCCTTCATTCTGCCTCCTTGTCTTCATCGTGCTCCTGAGTTCCTTTCCGCAGCCCTGCAGGGGCCTCCACACAGCAGAGGCTTACTGTTTGCTGCAAGCCAGTCTGAGGTGACAGTCTCTCTTCTGTCATGTGGCACACTGCGGTCAGCCTGACTGTCTCCTTGGAACTGGCTGCCCACGGGCATGTCCATAACCTCTAACTCTTTGTGACCTCAACCTCTCCATCTGTAGAGAAGACTGCTGTGAAGATGAAAGATCAATTGTGTAAAGGCTTTAGCGCAGGAGGTACCCGGTGAGCCACTGCGTTAGGTGTTGTTATTTACAGCCCTGCCTGTGTTCTGCATCGTGGTTAGAGCTCTGCTCTCAAACATCTTTCCGGACTTTTTCCAGCCTCAGGTAACCCTCCCGAGGGTTGGAGCCTACAGGTTGCTGGATGTTCAGGGCTGTGAACTCATGTTTACAGAGCACCGTTTGTTCTCCCTCTTGGCCGCCTGGGAAGGGACGTCAGGTTTCAGACCCTAACAGGTAGATCCCAGGGACTTGCCACAATGTTCTCTCAGTTTAGAGGAGCACATGACTCACACAGCTGGGTTCATGGGCTTCCCGAACTCTGTCTACCTGTGACCTGATGCAGCCCAGTTCTGGGGCTTCTGTGGGAGAAGACAAGAAAGGGCTGGGAGTCCTGAAGATAACGTGGACGAGGCCTTGGTAGGGAAGAGGACCTGGAAGCTTCAACTGCAGGGCTCTTGGGGCGCCTGGGTGGCTCAGTGGTTAAGCATCTGCCTTCCACTCCAGTCATCATCCCAGCATTGTGGTCAGGCTCCCTGCTCAGCGGGGACTCTGCTTCTCCCTCTCCCTAGGCCTCTCTCCCTGCTCATTCTCTCTAATGAAATAAAAAACGAAACAAAAGAAAACTACAGCACTCTCAATTCAGGGAAAGACTACTAGATGCTCCTGTAGATCCGGTGGGAGCACAGGGATGGACACCTGGAGTCTCCCCAACACTGATGATGCTTAGCTGGAACACTGACGGGCAGTGGGAGCAGCGAGACCATGGCGAAGGAAGGGCATTCCCAGTGTGGGAAGAGCATTTAAGGAGACTCGAAACAGCCTGATACATTCCAGGAACTGCGAGTAAGCCCGGTCTGTTGGTCCCTGTGGTCTACAGGACCGAGCCCGAACCCTGTCCCTTGACATTCAAAGCCCTTCCTAATCTTGCCCCCACCTCCTTCCAGCAGTCCCGCCCGTCCAACTCCGGTCGGTGTGTTGCCGCCGCTGTAGCCGGCTCTGCTCTCCAAGCAGGCCGTTTGCATTCTGGCCTCTGGGCCTTGCCCAGGCTGCTCCCTTTGCAGGGAAAATCTTAATCCTCGTCTTTGCAGAGCCAACTCCCTCTCATCGTGGGGACGTGCCCACCAGAAGCCCCTTCGGGCCCTGCGTCGGATGCTTGTCACTTTTGTTGAAGATTGAATCTCGTGAGGGAAATCTGCCCTGAGTACCCAGTCCCCCCCGGCCCTGCGCGCTGCCCTGCGCGCTGCCCTCCGGCTTCCAGACACCGTCTGCGCTGTCAGGGCTTCCTGGGGCAGGTGTCATTTCTCTTCTTCACATCAAGTCCAGCCGGCACAGAGGAGGGGCCGGTGCTTCTGTTGGACGAATGGATGGATGGATGGACGGTTGGATGGATGGATGGATGGATGGACGGTTGGATGGGTGGACGGTTGGATGGGTGGATGGATGGATGGATGGATGGATGGATGGACGGTTGGATGGGTGGATGGGTGGGTGGATGGGTGGATGGATGGATGGTTGGATGGGTGGATGGATGGATGGATGGATGGACGGTTGGATGGGTGGATGGGTGGGTGGATGGATGGATGGATGGATGGGTGGATGGGTGGATGGATGGACGGTTGGATGGATGGACGGACGAATGGATGGATGGGCGGATGGACGGACGGATGATGGGGCCTTCGCACCTTCTGATCTGCTCCCCCGCCAGGCCTGGTCGCTGTTTCCAGGGTCTCGCGCTGTCGCCGCCTTCCGCGCTGTCGCTCTGGCCCCGCCCTCACCGCCCCCACTCCCGTCCTGGGTCCCCAGACCCGAAGCCCCGCCTCCGAGCGGCTCCGCCCACAGCCGGGGTTGGAGGGCGGAGGCAACGCCCCCCAGCAGGCCGCCTGGGATTGGAGAGACCGCCGCCAGGGGGCGGGCCCTGGGCGGGGCAGCTGTGACGCGCTCGCGGCCAGAAAAGCCCCGCCAGGCTGCGGGCGGGGGACTGACGGCGCTGCCGGGAGCGGTGAGTGTCCGACGGGCGGGACGGGCGGGACAGGAGGGACGCGCGGCGGGCGGAGCGGAGGACGCCGACGACCGTGGCGCGCGCTGGGCGCTGCCCACGTCCGCCTCCCCGCAGGCCGCGCCGGGTCAAGCCCAGCGCCGGAGCCCGGAGCCCGGAGCCCGCCCCTCCCGAGGGACGCAGGCCGCTGGCCGAGGACATTCAGTCCCGGCTTGTCTTCCAGACCCGCACCGCCGAGGCCCCTGGAGACCAGGACCCGCCGGCATGGCTTCGGAGGTGAGTGGACCAAGGGGACGCCGGACGGGGGGGAGGGGCGCTCTGGGAGCCGCCGGGGCCCTGACCTGCGCGCGGGATCCCGCGTGCTGCACCCGCCGCCGGCCACCCTCCCGGTCTTCGCCGGCTGCGGGCGACGGAACCTCCCGGTGCACCTGCAGGAGCCTGGGAGGCCTGTGCTTGGACTTCCCGGCGCGCATCACCGTCTGCTCTCTGCCCCGTCCACGCCCCAGGAGACTTGTGGCGCTCCCAACCCGCGAGGCGAGGAGGGTGGCCCTGACCGACCCGACCGGACAGTGCTCCCAGCCAGGGCGCAGGAAAGGAGCCCCCTCATTCAGCTCCCTCACCTCCCGATGCCCTTCCTGTCGGTCCCCACCCTGTGCCCCTTCTCCCGCTGTAGCAGAGGCCACGTGACTCTGGCTGGTGGACAGAACCAGGAGGTTCAGGGACCATGCCCTGTGGCCCTAGTGGCCCCAGTGCCTGGTGGCTTGCTCTCTCACTGGCCTCTCTTCCTTAGAGCCACAGGGCGCCTGGGTTCTCTTCCTGACCACTTCTGGCAGGAGTCCTAGGCACAGGTTCCTTTTCTGGGGCCTCAGTTGGATTATCTGGCAGATGGGGATAATAATAAATCTCTGCCTCCTTCTGGAAGGTACTGGGTCATGAGGTCATTGCTTTGAACCTTTCAGGTAAAGGGGGCTGTTTGCTTGGTGCCAGTGAATGGAGCCTGTGGCCTGGGAAGCAGGAGGTCGGGGTTCCAGTCCTTTCTGGTCCTCATTAGCTAGCAAAGCACTTCCTCTCTCTGGCCCTCAGCTTGTTCATCTGCATAAACTGGATGAGAATGCCTGTCCTGCTGGTTTCTGGGTCATGATGTCAGGGGCCACAGTAGGGCTTGGACTTTGGAGGCAAACAGAGTCGGTTTCTGAAGCAATCTCTTGATCCCCTGGGGTAACAATGCCCACCTCCCAGGAGGGTATAATAGCATATGTAGAATGCCTAGCCCAAGGCTGAGCTGTTGTATCATACAGTAGGTGCTCAGTAAATGCTGGCTAAGGATACCGACAGTAACAACATGGTATTTCCCTGTGCCTTCTAGATTGGCTGTTGCTCCTTCATCCCAACCCAAACCAGTACTCCTGCACCCTTGCCCCAAAGGTGTCATTCTGGCCCAGATGTGCTCTAGGCTAGAGGAGGGCCCTTTCTGCCTTGTTGGGACTCCCCCTCTCTTCAGAGCCCAGATGGTAGCACCTCATTCTGACATCCATCTGGGATCTTTTTTTAAAAAAAGATTTTATGGGGCACCTGGGTGGCTCAGTGGGTTAAGCCTCTGCCTTCGGCTCAGGTCATGATCTCAGGGTCTTGGGATGGAGCCCCACATCGGGCTCTCTGCTCAGCAGGGACCCTGCTTCCTACCAAGCCCCGCCTGCTTCTCTGCCTACTTGTGCTCTCTCTCTCTCTCAAATAAATAAATAAAATCTTTTTAAAAAATTTTTTAAAAGATTCTATTTATTTATTTGAGAGAGAGAGAGAGAGATTGAGAGTTTGGGCGGGGGGAGAAGAGACAGGGGCAGGGACAGGGACGGAGAATCTCAAGCAGACTCCCCACGGAGCAGGGAGCCTAGCAGCGCAGCTCTATCTCAGGACTTAGAACTGAGCCGAAAGCAACAGTCGGACACACTCAGTGGACTGACCCACCAGGCCCCCTCTTTCTGGGGTCTTTTTTTTTTTTTAAATTAATTAATTTATTTATTTGACAGAGAGAGAGAGATTACAAGTAGACAGAGAGGCAGGCAGAGAGAAGGGAGAAGCAGGCGTTCTGCCGAGCAGAGAGCCTGATGTGGGGCTCCATCCCAGGACCCTGAGATCATGACCTGAGCTGAAGGCAGAGGCCTAACCCACTGAGCCACACAGGCGCCCCTTTCTGGGGTCTTTTTAAGCCTGCCAGTGGGGTGGGAGCTTGGCCCCAATGCAGAGTGGACTGCCTTCAGGAGACCAGCACATCAGGTGACTTCTGCTTGCCCCAGGCCGTCTTGTGGGTTAGTGCTAATTGGTTTGGCTGCAGCCCCGCTTGTTAAGTAGTTGTTATTACTAACAACCCAGGCTGGGAGTCCAGGGCCTGCTGGAGGAGGCAGCGCCAGGTTCCGGGTGGAGGGGCCCGCTGGCTCCCAGTCCTGACTGGCATTGGCCTGCCCTGGTCCTCTGGCCCCAGTGGTCAGGAGAGGGACCCACGTGGTGCTTTGCGGGAGATCAAGGCTTGGCAGGTAAGGGGAGGATCTAGCTCAAAAGGTTGAGGGGGGCGGAGGCTGCTTCTGCGGGGCAGAGTCCTCAGACAGCCAAGGCTGCTGGGCAGCGAGGGGTTAGGTCACAGCCTGGGGCGTGAGTGCAGTGGAGGCCCCCATGGTGCACACAGGAGCCCGGAGAGGCGTTAAGACACGCCCAGCCTCTGGCGGCCCTCGGCCCCTCCCTTACTGAGGATTTACTGAGTGCCAGGCACTGTGCTATGTATGCACTTAGAAATTTTACCTAACTGGATGTCACAACAGCTCAAGCAGATAGGTACTACCATTGTCCTTGTTTATTGGGGGTAACCCTGCAGCTTGGAAAGGTTATGGAATATGCCCACAGTCAGGTGGCTAGGAGGGGTCTGGGACATTGCAGGGTGACAGAGGAGGACATATGTCCCCAGCAGCCATTATAAACTACCCCTCCGCAGGAAAGTCGGCAGTGAAGTAAAATGCCTCCGTTCACCCAGGGCACTCTCCCAATCCTTAGCCTTCTGGGAGCTAGGACGGCTCCCTTGTGTTCGGTACCCCTCCCCCATCTGTCACATGCTGTGGCCTCTGTACTCTTTCAAAACAGAGGTGTCTCTGTCCCACCCCTCTGCCCTTAGCTCCTGGGGGGCATAGGGTCAGCTGGTGACCTTCTAGAAGGCCAAAGATAAGAGATGTGCCAGAGGCACTCTCCAAAGGAGTGGTGGAGGTTGGGATCTTAGGCCCTGCCCCAAGCTGTGGGAGAGAAATGCAGGCCATTTGAGCCTGACGGGGCCCCTCAGGTGCTTCCTCTCCTGTCCCTGCTGCAAAAGTTCAGGATATCAGAGCCAGCAGAGAGGAACATTGGGGGAGGCGTGCGGACTCTGCTTCAGTTAGCTGGGCTGTGGTCTGGGCTCTATCACCCCAACAAGAGCTCTGTGCTTTGGTTTCCCCCTCTCTGCAGCAGGATAGAATTGGTAGCCCCATCAGAGTCTCTGTTGGCGCAGGCCAAGCGGTCGCAGTCACGCCTGGCACGCAGTGAGAATGCGGAGTACGCTAGCGAGGATTGTTGTCATTACCGTCAGAGTGTCAGAGCTGGACTCAGACTCTGCATTCGGAGTGACTTCTCCCCTTGGTCAGTGGCACGAAAGGTCCCAGAAGTTCTGCTCTATTCTCAGGGGTGCCTTGTCCCCTGCCATCATTTCCTTAGAGAAGTGTCACGGGTGGGAGAGAACCCTAACTTCAGTGTCCAGCCACATTCCCACACTGACTCCTCAGGTGACTTCGAGCAAGTTCCTGACCCTCTCTGAGCCTCAGTTTCCTTACCTGTCCAGTAAGAATGGCCCTGCCTGCTGGTTCCCACTGCCGTCAGACTTGCTAGCTCTCCCGCGGGCCCTTTGTGAGAGGCGCTGTTCTCAGGGTGGGAAGGAGATTAACTGTTCCTGCTCTCCTGGCCAGAGTGGGAAGCTATGGGGTGGCCGCTTTGTGGGCGCAGTGGACCCCATCATGGAGAAGTTCAACTCATCCATTACCTACGACCGGCACCTGTGGGAGGTGGACGTGCAGGGCAGCAAGGCCTACAGCCGGGGCCTGGAGAAGGCGGGGCTTCTCACCAAGGCCGAGATGGACCAGATACTTCATGGACTGGACAAGGTATTCTGTACACCCAAAAGCCCCCTCTAGAGCCCCACCCTGTGGTCCCAGGCTTCCATCAAGTCCCAAACAGGTTGTGGAGGATGTGCTCTCCAGGCACATTTTCCCTTGGGATTAAATGTCTGTCAAGGTGCTCTTTATTTATTTATTTTTTTTAATTTTTAAAAGCTTTATTTATTTATCTTCGAGAGAAAGCAGGGCGAGGGGCAGAGGGCGAGGAAGAAAGAGAAACTCCAGCGGACTCCTCACTGAGCGGGGAGCCAACGCAGGGTTCAATCCCACAACCCTGAGATTATGACCTGAGCCGAAATCAAGAGTCAGCTGCTTAATGTACTGAGCCCCCCACAGGTGCCCCTGTCGAGGTGCCCTGTAAACCATATGCTGTGCTGTGTTTCTCTTCATCCCTCAATGCCTCTGTGGCCCGTGGCCCATGGCTCATAGGGGAAGGAGACCTGGGCCCGAGGTGCTCCCCTGGGTGTGGGGGCTACAACACCCCGTGGAGCACTCACGCTTCCTGGGGAGCACCCCGAGGATGCAGCTCTTACGCAGAGATAGTCAATGATCAGAGTCGGGGTGGGACCAGGGCTGTGGATGGCTGACCCCTGACCCCTGGGTTGTTGACATCTGCTGCAGGTGGCTGAGGAGTGGGCTCAGGGCACCTTCAAACTAAACCCCAATGATGAAGATATTCACACAGCCAACGAGCGACGTCTGAAGGTATGACCCCCTGCTGTCCACTTGGCCTCCCCCTTCTACCTCACCCATGGCCCCTTGGAGCATAAGCACCATCCTTCTGTTCCCTGCTGGCTGGACCTCAGAGCAGGTGGCCTCTGCAGAGATGGCAGGGCCCAGGGGTTGGAGGGAAGGTGACAGGGCGGGTAGGAACCAGGCCCTGCCTGGGCTGACCATGACCCCCTGCCTCCCTCCGCCCCCAGGAGCTCATCGGCGAGACTGCGGGGAAGCTGCACACGGGCCGAAGTCGGAATGACCAGGTGCTGCTCCCACACTCCCCATCACCCGACCCCGGGCCTTGTGCATTCCTGATCCTGGGGAGCCCAGGTGGCAGATGTAGGGCTCTGCAGTGGTCCTGGCTCCCCAGTGAAGCAACACATCTGTGTCCCTGAGTGCCACCCTCTCCTCCCCACAGGTAGTCACGGACCTCAGGTTGTGGATGCGACAGAACTGCTCTAAACTGTCCGCCCTCCTCTGGGAGCTCATCAGAACGATGGTGGACCGGGCCGAGGCGTGAGTTTCCCGTGAGCACCCAGGTGGCAGAGAGGGGCACGAGGGCAGCCAGGGTCTCCTCTGCCATGGGACAGGCAGCCTGAATGCTCGATCTACGTGGCAAGTATGAAGGGGGTTGGGGAGCCATGCCCCGGGGCTCGGGGGTGTCCTGGAACTCCTGGACTAATGAGGTAAAGCAGCCAGGAATGGGGGCATTTCTTGCCATGTTTCCTACTCCCATGCCAGCTGAGCTCAGCAGGTAGGGCAAGCTCACCCTCTGAGGCTTCGTAAGTAGGAGACTAAGGCACTAGGCAGATGCCTGAAGCCTGAGGAAAGGGCCTGCCTGTGCCAGGGACAGCCCAGGTCACTCTTCAGCTGCTCCACGCCCCCGTCCCCTCCCAGCATGGCTGGCACAGGACAACCAAAGCTGCCTCCCACTGGCCTCATCCCAAGTTCTGGCTCTTTTGACCTCACGTCTTTGGGGGTGACTTGGCTCCTTCCAGACCTGGCCAATTTGCTGCTGAGAAGTCCCTGTCTGGTGTCAGAGATAGGTGACCCCAGCTCCCTGTGACCTCTTGTTCACAGACCTTACCACGTGGGGGAGAACAAGGGCCTAAGACCCATTGCCCTGGGGAGTGCTGGGAGAAATGGGGAGTGACTGCTAATGACTATAAGTTGCTTCTTTGGGGGGATGAAAACATTCTAAAATCGATGGGGTGACAGGTACACAAAAGTGTACAGTTTAAGTGGGTGAATGATGTCTCAGTAAAGCTGTTTATTAAAACAAACAAACCAAAACCATCACCTGCAGCGCCTTGTCTCTTTGAAAGTGCCCCCTGCTCTTCTGAGGTCCTTGGGCGCATCTCATGGGCTCACAGATGTGACTCCCCCACCAGGTAGTACCCCTCGGTGTCCCCTCCTTTGCTGTCACCTCTCCTTAGAGCTGAGGATGGCATTGCCTCGGGTCCCAGCTCCCATCCTGCTCTGGGGAGGCCCCGGGGCCCTGGCCCTATCCCTGGATCACGCTGCCTCACTTCTGGTCTCTTCCTTTAGGATGTGTTTGTCCCCAGGAGGTCACTTGGTTTCTTGCACAGGCAGGTCCTTGCAAGGCTGCCCTCACTCTTCCCTGTTGGGGCCTTCGGGGTATGGGCGACACAGGCCGACCTTGCGGCAGCTGCAGAGTGCCTCAGACCCTGCGGCTCTTCCCCCACAGGGAACGCGACGTCCTCTTCCCGGGGTACACACACCTGCAAAGGGCTCAGCCCATCCGCTGGAGCCACTGGATCCTGAGGTGAGGCGGGCCGTCGTGCAGGGGTGCTGTGGAGGGGCTGTGACAGAGGGGAGGGCCCCGGAGGCCCTGACCTCTGCCCTCTGGCTTCCTACAGCCATGCCGTGGCGCTGACCAGAGACTCGGAGAGGCTGTTGGAGGTCCAGAAGCGGGTCAATGTCCTGCCCCTGGGGAGGTGAGTCAGCCCCCAGTGTCCCGAGGGCCTCGTGGCGGGGCGGGAGTCGGGGGCTGTCCCACATAGTTAGCCGGTCCTTGGGGATCAATGGAAGAGGAGGCACTAGGAAGGACAGAGGAGGCCAGCCAGCCAGGTGACGGGCCTCTCTGTCAGGGGTTCTTCCGCGCAGACCCGAGGCGGTCTTGGAGATGGGGCTGACTGGGCTAGCAAGGATGCCAGAGCAGGGCCAGAGCTCTACAGAGAGAGCCGTCCGGTTGCCCTCAGCCTGCCGTTTCGGCTCCGTAGGGACAAGCCTTCCATCAGCCATGCTGCCTGGGTGGCCGCCCTGACCATCGGGGCTTGGCTCTGGGTGTGTGTGCGCGTGTGTGCGTGTGTGTGCAAGTGCGTGTGCGCGTGCCAGGAGCCCTGCTCACCTAGGATCCCCTGTTCCTGCAGCGGGGCCATTGCGGGCAACCCTCTGGGTGTGGACCGGGAGCTGCTCCGAGCAGGTGAGGTGCCCTGCCCCTCACCCTGGCGATCCCCCACAGCACCTCCCAGGTGCCACAGACACACACTTGGAGGGGGCAGGGGGCTGGTTGAAACCCTCATTTATTACCTACGGACAGTGAGGCTAGAGCAGCAAGAGAAGGCTTGTAGCAGCAGTGCATGGCGCTGGGGACACTCAGGGCTCCTGCTTCGTGCCTGGGACCTGTACAGGAGGCCCTCCCCCATTCCTGCTGCTCCCTACTCTCCTCCCTAAAAGGGCCTCAAGGAGGAGGTGGCTGGGCAACCTGATTAGGGGTAGAGGAAGGCCCTCCTTGCCCTCCAGCCCAGCCCTGTTGCCTCCCCCACGTCCTTCTCCAGAACTGAACTTTGGGGCCATCACTCTCAACAGCATGGATGCCACCAGTGAGCGAGACTTCGTGGGTGAGTCCTCGGAGCCAGTCCGCTTGTCCTCTAGGGCCACTCCCCTGCACTGTGCCCTAATTTAGCTCTATCTGGCTCTAATCTAGCCCTGGCTCCCCTCCTGCCTCCTCCCACCCCAAGTCTGGTCCCCCTGGGGCTTCTCCAGAATGAGTGGGGAGCAGGAGAAGCCTGGGGACCAGAAGGCCTGCTCTCCCTTTCCCCCTGCAAGCTGAGTTCCTGTTCTGGGCTTCGCTGTGCATGACCCACCTCAGCAGGATGGCCGAGGATCTCATCCTCTATGGCACCAAGGAATTCAGCTTTGTGCAGCTCTCAGATGCCTACAGGTAAGGCTGGGCCCTGCCCTACCCGGCTCTGTACCCACCAGCATGGCTTCCTTCCTCCCCATACCCTCCCTGCCCCTGACACCCTCCCCCCATCCCTGGCCCGGGGCAGACCGGAACTGCATGCCGCTAGACCTCACCCGACCCAGCCAGCAGACCAGCCAAGGGGCAGGGGAGCCCTTTCAGCCCTAGCATCTCTGTCCCCAGCACCGGAAGCAGCCTGATGCCCCAGAAGAAAAACCCAGACAGCCTGGAGCTAATCCGGAGCAAGGCGGGGCGAGTGTTTGGGCGGGTGAGCGGGGCAGGGAGTGGGGGCAAGGCTCTGGGCTGACCCGGAGGGTCCCGAGGGAACTTGCAGGATGGGCTCTGAGGTCCAGCCTCCTCATTCTCACTCTTTTCTCAGTGTTCTGGGCTCCTGATGACGCTCAAGGGACTCCCAAGCACCTACAACAAGGACTTACAGGTGCGAGGCTGGGGCTATGGGTGAGGGCCCCACCTGCACGTACACCTTATCCCATTTCTCGGGGCCCTGGACATCGAGGCAGGGGCCCCACAGAATTGCGGCCTCCCTTCCCATGCACTCAGCCCTTGATTGTCCTTGAGAACGCTCTCCTCTCTGTCGATGTGGGTTGAACAAGGTGCTGAGCATTCCTCGCGGAGGGCAGTGGGATGCCTCATTGGGGGGGGGCAGGGCTGCTGGGCTCTCACCTCCTGCCACGCGGCCCCCAGGAGGACAAGGAAGCCGTATTTGAAGTGTCAGACACGATGAGTGCTGTCCTGCAGGTGGCCACGGGCGTCATCTCCACACTGCAGGCAAGACCCCGTCCTCTCCCCCAGGCCCCTACATGCCAGGAGGTGGTCTTGAGGGGAGGGGAGGGTGGGTGCATCCAGAAGATCTGGGGCAGGGGGAGGAGGGTGGGTGTTTGCTCCTATCCCTAGGAACAGCAGAGAGACAAAAGCCACAGTAGAATGGAAGCAGGTTAGACGCTACGGGTCCCATCAACTGGCCTGACCAGATCTCCTTTTGGGTCACTTATGACGGGAGATTTCAGTATGCACAGCTGAGACCGCACAGTGAAGCCCTGTGGACTAGCGCCCAACTTCAACAACGAGCAACTGGTGGCATTTTTCGCTTTGGCTGTCTTTACCCACCACCCACCCCGCCCCCGCGGTTCTGATGCAGCCAAAGATGGGGACCCTGAGATAAAGTGCCGGCAGCCCCCATAGCACCCCTAAACGTTATCGGGGATGATGGCAAACGGCGGAGAGGGCGGACCAGGCTGGGTCAGAGTAGATCTGCCTGGGGCTAATGGTGGGAGGCTGGCGGCTTCACCACCCAGGGTCCCCAGGATTCACCGCTCCCCTCCCGGGGTCCCCCAGATTCACCGGGACAACATGGCACGGGCTCTTAGTCCTGACATGCTGGCCACTGACCTCGCCTACTACCTGGTCCGCAAAGGGGTGAGTGTGGGGTGGCTGGGATGCAGCGGGAGGAGATGGGAACGTCCTGGGCCGAGGGTGGGGGGGCGTGAGGGACGGCGCGGGCAGAACAGGGAGCCGAGGAAGGCTAAGTCGGAGCCCCCCGCGGCGGCCGCCCCAGATGCCGTTCCGCCAGGCGCACGAGGCCTCCGGGAAAGCCGTGTTCATGGCCGAGACCAAGGGGGTCGCCCTCAACCAGCTGTCGCTTAAGGATCTGCAGGCCATCAGGTGCGACCCCTGCCTCCCCGCTGCGGCCCCCTGGGAGGTGCGCCCGGGCCAATGGGGCCCCCAGGGACCCCCGCTGGGCCCTGGCCCACCTGGTCCTCTGTCCCGCAGCCCCCTGTTCTCCGGCGACGTGAGCCGCGTGTGGGACTACGG